CTTATAAAATTTTAAAATCAAAATTTCGGGGAAAATTATCACATACAAAAAAATCACTCGAAACTTTTTTTTAGGAAATTAAATTCTCTATAAAAAAGGCTCCTATAAATTTTTTCATCTCTTATTATTCAGCCAGAATTTCAATTTAAAATTCAATTAAGAGCGTATTTGATTGCCTTAAGTTTTGGAAAAGATTAAAATGTCTGAACAAAAGAAAGACTGAGAAAAGCAAATTGAATGATAAAAAGATAAAAAAGAGTGAAGAAGACATTGATTAATAATCCGTTATGTAGAACTGGGTCGCCTTTATTAACTTATTCCATTTGCCTTAGCAATTTTCACGAAATACATCGGCTGTAGCTCTCGTTCCTCGTTCCACACAACAACCTACAACATATTAAAGCACCCTCTCTGGCAAACTCAATCTTTCCCGTTGGTAGTTGGTATCCCCGTCTCTCTTTCGCTTGATATGTCCCTTTGGCCCGATATATAATCCACCACGGGCGCTTTGCAAACACGCGGGTGGAATTATCTGTACGGCGTGAACGATGTCTGTTCCGTTAATGTGTTTTACTCGAGTTCGGGTGTGCATGCGATCCAGAGTGAATTTACCAACACGTATAAACGCAGGCCGAGGAAAGCATCCGGCTTACAAGGACCAAAGCCCTTTCTATAAACATCAACACACCTTCACATTCGCCATCACTTACTCCCACATAATTCAATCAACCTAACACATAAAGGGCTAATGCTCTTCTTGCTCCAATATTGATACTTGACTCGCTAAAGATCGATCATTATTGAATTAATCGATTTAAATCAGGATTTGGACACAAAAAAAATTTTTTTCTAAGAAAATAAAAAATTTCTATTAAAGTTAATGAAATTTTTCGTAATATAATGTATGACTTTTTTTATTTTAATCAATAAATATTTAAGAAAAAAACTACTAAAGATTAATGTGCCAATCAAATTTTTGATCACGTTTAATTCTAACAAATTTAAGCTAATTTCAAAGTCCAAAAAATTAAACAATTTTTACAACTCCTTCAAATTTATTGATTGCAAAAATTAATTAGTAAGTCAAACCCAAACAAAAAAAAAGTGCAGACCAGGCGAGATGAGAATTATTAGTGAATAGCGAGAATTACGTGTAAAAAAAAAAAGATAATGCAGCTTAACAGTCCCCCGGGGAGGGATGAAAAATTTTAATTAAAAAATTTGAAACCCGTCTTTCAAACCGGTGTAAATGATTAATAATTAATCAGGACATTCCTCCGATTACTATCGATTTATAGAACGTCCATTAGTTTTTCTTCGTTTTTTGGTTTTTTCAAGGGTTAATTCAATGACCGGGTTCATTGCGTCGACAAAAAGTTTCCAGGATAGCAATCTCTTGGCGGTGGTAGCGTGGGACGTGGAAAAAACAAGTAGAGTAAAGTACGCTCAACTTCTTTGTACAGGTTAAATTATAAAAGTTTTCCGAGACACGCAAGTGTCAAGCCACTTCTGGTGAATTATGCTAAGAACCCGCATACTATGTTTAGTACGAGTATACTTGATGCTTGAGCAACCATGTTTCAGTATTCAATCAACGTTAAAACATTTCGTCTATTGACTCTTGCCCTTCTGTCCTCTGGCAAAAAGTATCCTTATAAATTACTCTTTATTTCGAAAAGTTACTCGATTGTACAATATACATAAAAATACTTTATTGTTACTCTAGAATTTTTGGGTCAATGCAAATACCTTTTCATCTTTTATGCTCGGGTGCCCGTCGATAAACCCATTCAATACTTAATTTATTGAGCTTCCGGATGATCAATCGTGATTTCGAGATTCTTCAATTAGTCTGATTGGATTGACAAAAAGCACTCGAATTTAGAGTGAAGTTTAATTTTGTAAAGTAAAAAAGAAGTTTGGATTTAAACTATTGGATTTTCAAATTTTTTGAAGAAAATTAATTAAAACGTCAATTTGGGACGTTAGAAATGACAATTTAGCAAAAAAAAAAAAATAAATTCACGAAAAATACGTTCAAATCAACTTTTTAACTTCCCGAATTTTAATAAGTTTCCTCAAATTTCAATTACATGGAAATTTTCAACTTCAACCTAATTTTGGAAATGTTAAAACTAAAATTTTCAAAAGAATATTATATCGGAATAACTTGAAGCCAGGACAGTAAATTTCTTTTGGAGATATATCAGTTATAAATTTTCAAACGAATCCACAGATTCGGTAGAATCTGGCGCCAAGTTCCGTTCTCAAGCCAGACTACCGAGTGTGTATACACCGTAAACAGAACGGTTTTTTGAGGTTACAAATTTTTTTTCTAATTTATTTTGATTTTTTTTTTATATGATATTTTATAATAGTAGTTCATGCTTTTTATTACGCATATTTCTTGATTATTGTCAATTATCTTTATAATTTCTATTTAAAATTATTAAAAATAATCAGCACAAACTATAGCGACCCAGATTTTTAGATTTTAACTTTTTTCTTATGTAAAAAGCGGACGGCCAGAGACTAAATAATATAAGGATGCATGCTAATCTTATAATAGATGGGAAACTACAGTGAAAAAAGATATTTGACAGCTTGCAATTACACACGCCAGGCGGTGCAAGAATAACTTTTACATGAACTATAGCTTAAAGGAGATAGTTTGCCACCGGAAATGTATTAAATTAAAATTGTCAATTTTTATTATAATTACAAAAAATACTGAAATCCGAACAAAAACAGTTTCACTGTAAAAAAAATCGCGCCAAGTCCACGTTCATAAAACTATTAAGAAAAAAAAATTTTATTTCTCAAGTAACCGATATGGTTGTATATGATTTTCGGAAATTAAAAAAAATTTTTTTGTAAATTTAAAAATTAAAAGATACAATTTTGGAACATACTTGGTGTGCGTCATTGTGTATTTCAATTTTTTTTTAAAAGTCCTAGTAGATAGATTCGAATTTCATTAAAAGTAAAATATTTTGCAACCACGCACACTAAATACGTTCCAAAATTGTTTCTTTTAATTTTTAAAGTTACAAAAAAGTTTTTTTTAATTTCCGAAAATCATAAACAATCATATCAGTTACTTGGATTTTTTAATTTTTTTATTTTATACCTTTTTGTAAAGAAAACAAAATTTTTTATTCTTAATAGTCTTATGAACGTGGACTTAACGCGATTTTTTTTACAGTGAAACTGTTTTTATTCGGATTTTAGTATTTTTTGTAATTAAAATAAAAAATTACAATTGGTACCAACTTAAATCTCGCGTTGGCTGCATTTTTATAGCAAACTATTCCCTTGAAGCTACAGTTTATGTAAAAATAATTCCAGCGCACCCTGGCAGGTGTAGATGCAAGCTGTGAAATATCTTTTTTTAACTGTAGTTTCCCATCTAATGAAGGATTACTATGAATTCTCGAATATTTTAGTCTGTGGCAGATCACTTTGCCCATCGAAAAAAAGTCAAGATCGAAATTTTTGCGTTGCTATAGTTTGTGCTAATTAAATTTAATAATTTCAAGTAGATTAATTGTTATAAGTAAATATAATTAATTAATAACAGTAAAATAAAGCATGAATTTCTGTTATAATATACAATTTAGGAAAAAAAAAAGTACCGTAGAATTAAATAAAATTTTACAACCTCAAAATACCGTTCTGCTTACAGTAGTCTGGCGCTCCGTTGACAACGGATCTGAACGGAACTTGGCGCCAGATTCTACCGAATCTATGGATCTTAACCTACGTGGCAAGAGTTAAATTTCAACCAAGCTGGTTTTTAAGACCAGCTTGGGATTCGAACCCACGCCTGGCCGGTGAGTTAGTTCGAGTGCTCTACAGGCCGTGCGCCTTCGATCACTCGGCTAACGCCGCCGGTTTTAAGAGGATTATGTATTAACCAATATTTTTTTTTGTTAATAGGTTTTCAAAATCCCTCCTATTTCAAAGCGTTCAACGGCCAGCAACATTACATTTGATAAGGGCGGGGAATTTAAAGTAAATATATATTTTTATTAATTTATTATATTTACATTAATCAGTCGTATAAAAAGTATCTAAATTAATAATTACTATACGTTAATTGAAATTTTATAAAAATAAAGGTATCATGTTTTTACTTTTTCCATAAGAACTTCAAAATAACATTAATAACTGAAATCTTGATAAATAATCGATAATTCATTATTTTTTACCAGTACAGCAGTTAATGACTCTCAATGGTGACGATTTAGAACTTTATATTCCCACTATTTTTCTTGGTATCATGGTAACAAGTCATTTTTTTAATAACTACTAGATTTTACTTCTTATTGTTAATTACTATTTATTTAGTTTTTAATAGTCGTTTAAAGTAGATTAAATTTAAAGCAGAGTATATATAAAATTAAGGGAAATATACAACACCCTTTAGAGAGTGAAATTTTGTTCTTTTTGAAGTTCATCCTGTGTAAAAGAAAGATTATAAGAAACGCAGCGATTTCAAAGTTTTTAATGAGAATTTTTATAATTGGCTTTTATTGAAAACTTGAAAAAATTTTATTTGAATGAGAAAAGTTTTTTAAAGCTTATAAGTTATAACCAAATGAATAATTAACAGATTGGATTTTCGCGACAATTTACTACTTAAAGTTTCAAAAATTAATTAATTAAAAATTCTGGGATAATAAAAATGACTAATCTTTCAGATAGAAATCTGCTGTAGCATTCTAGCGATATAAGTTTCTAAAAAATCAGGCCATCTTTGAAAACTCCCGCTATATTAGATCTAAAGACGTTTAAAAAATTTCCTATGGAGTTTTGAATTCAAAAATTTCTTCAACAACTTGACTCGACGTTCCAAACTTCCTATTTGTTTTCCAAATAAAACATTTTACAGACTAAACTAACTATTGATAATAATCATAAATTACCTTGTTTTAATTACCAATATCAATTTATGTACTCTCTAACATTAAAACCCATGATAATTACAGGTACAAGAACAATGCAACAATACGAAAAAGCAGTCCTCTGCTTCTCATGGCGTGAAATCTCAGCCGAAGGTGTTGGTTCCACCACCCCAGGTGGCCGACGATCAGCATGCTCTGACACCGATTATCAGTCCGACGACGGAGAAAGAATTGCTGAAAGATTTAATGTGGGATACGAAAGAACCATCTTCGAGCTCGATGAATTCATCCCCGAATCTGAGGGACGAGGACAACACAACAATATTTTCACCAACTTGGGAGGAAAATTATCAGGATCTAAGTGGATGGTGCTCCAGGATCCCCATGGATCACAGAAGTTACAGTTTTCCTGTAGGTGAATCTCTTAATGGTAGGCATTCAGGTACGTCGAAATCACCTTAATCAAAAAATACATATTAAAAATTTTTTTTTTCATTTTTAATTATTTTTTATGTTTGTTTTAGATATGAAAATCGACGATCAGACTTACTCGACAAACGTGGGGGTTGACGTTCTTAACGTGGGTATGACTTCTGCAACAATCGATCTTGATGATTTTAAGCAGCAAAACAATATTACTAACAATAATAATCTTAACAACAGTAATAATATGAATAATATCATTAAAAATAATAAAAATGTAATGCTACCACCGATTGATGATGATAAACCTATAATGCTGGGGGGGACTATTGATGTACCTGATGAATGGCTGGACTTACCTAAGTCTTCCATAGCCTCACGAACAGATGAATGGATACGGCTAGTTGATAATGACAAAATGGACGAACCGCTTCAGCGACTCGAAATTAATCAATTAAATGACAATGTTAATTTGGATAACAGCTACTCTGCAGAGCCTACAGTCAATTGGGATATTATTTATAATTTCGATAACAATGAAAAAGGCCTACATGATCGAGTTACAAATCCTAGAGTTTTCCAGGATTGCGACTCAGTTTTGTCAATATGAAGGCAGAAATTAAACTTAGAATCTATGGTCACTCCAAGATCTACATGCGACTGGACACGCTTAACCAGAACATTATTTATAGTGTAATTAAAAATTATCGGTGACTTATTCCTAGCAATAGTTAACACTTCACATTTATCATAATTAAGTTTCATATCATTATCAGTACATAGTTTAGCAAAGTGATCAACAAATTTTTGCAGTCTAGAGCAATCTCGGACTGATTCTATACGTAAATAAAACTTGTTATCATCAGCAAAAGCTTCTAACATACATTTACTATCAAACAACCCCAGATCAATAAGCATTACATTAATAAAAATTATAAATAATAATGGACCAAGGTTTGAGCCCTGTGGAACCCCTGATGTTGATTCATAGACCTTAGAATATATACCCTCATAGACCACCTTATTTTTTCTATTTACTAAATATGACTTTAACAGTGCTAGTGAAGCCTCAGGAAATTACAAAATTATTATTACAAAATTGAGAAAGATCTTTCTTGTAGATCATTAATTTTTCTAAAAAAAATATTTCTTATAAATTTTTCCAATACTTTGCCCAAAATTTTGGTCTCAAACTTCTGAATCGAATATTTTTACCGAAAAATTTTGTTTATAACTTTGAATCTAATTAATGCAGAGATGGTGAGAGTTAATGTCAGAAAATTGATAAAAACTTTTTTTAAAGAGAATTCAATTTTCTACAAGAAAGTTATCTTATAATTTTTTGGTATCTTCAATATTTATCGTTAAATTCTGATTGCAATTATTATCATAATTATTTTCTTACTTTTGAGGTTTTTTCAGTTAACATTTCAATAATTATGATAAAAATAAAAATAATAATAATAACTAGCAACTTGCAGTCACTATGTGACTGCCGTGACTTGTGAAATATAAATAAATAAAATTTTGCTTAATTAAATAATGACTTTTGTTAAATTGCACTGTGTTTCCTTAACTATTGACGTTTTTAAAGATATAAGCTCATCCCGATGTTACACTCATCAAGAGCTTTCATTTGAGTACTCACATGCATTTTAATATATTTTTCATATATTCATATATATAAATATATAAAATATATGAAAAATTGATGTGGGTACTCAAATGAAAGGTCTCGATGAGTGTAACATTGGGATGAGCTTATATCTTTGAAAATGTCAATAGTTCACAAAATACAAGGTGATTTTTGAATTATGTATCTTATATATTGTTAAATTGCACTGTACTTTCTTAAATATTGATGTATTTAAAGATATAAGCTCATTCCGATGTTACACTCATCAAGAGCTTTCATTTGAATACCCACATGAATTTTTAATATGTTTCTCATATATACATATATATAATATATATAAATATATATAATATATGAAAAATTGATGTGGGTACTCAAATTAAAGGTCTCGATGAATATAATATCAGGATGAGCTTATATTTTTAAATATGTCAGTATATCACAAAATAAAAGGTAATTTCTTAATTATGTATCTATAGAAATAGAGTATTTTAGAATGCACTCTAAATAATTATCATAATAAATTGACTATCAGTGAAAATTAAGTAAAACCTTGAAAAGGCACAAATTCAAGTCAAGACCTTTGCAATGACACTAAATTTCACTAAAAAAACTGATTTCATCATATGACTATCCTGAAAACAAAATTTTTCTTATTCTCTTAGTAATATAGATGATCATCATTATTATCTCACTTTTGAGGCTTTTTCAGTTAACTTTTCAATAATTATAATAAAAATAAAAATAATAATAATTTATTTTTTAACACTAAATATTACAAAGAATTACTTTAACTTGAACCATTAACCCTTAGAAATAATAATTATTTTCCTAGTGGTTGTTAAAAAAATAGCAACACGTAGTTGCATATCGCGTGTGAGTTTTTATATCTATTAAATTATGTCATGCGATCAAAAGGCATTCGTATCATGTGGAATAGATTTGTAAATAGTACGTACAAATATCTATATATATGCTGATATACTCGTGTAAGGAGGTACTTGAAAAGGCACAAATTCAAGTCAAGACCTTTGCAATGACACTAAATTTCACTAAAAAAACTGATTTCATCATATGACTATCCTGAAAACAAAATTTTTCTTATTCTCTTAGTAATATAGATGATCATCATTATTATCTCACTTTTGAGGCTTTTTCAGTTAACTTTTCAATAATTATAATAAAAATAAAAATAATAATAATTTATTTTTTAACACTAAATATTACAAAGAATTACTTTAACTTGAACCATTAACCCTTAGAAATAATAATTATTTTCCTAGTGGTTGTTAAAAAAATAGCAACACGTAGTTGCATATCGCGTGTGAGTTTTTATATCTATTAAATTATGTCATGCGATCAAAAGGCATTCGTATCATGTGGAATAGATTTGTAAATAGTACGTACAAATATCTATATATATGCTGATATACTCGTGTAAGGAGGTAATATCCGAGTGCGTTTATATATGTACTGTCACGTGCAGTTATCAATTTAATATTAACGCTTTCATTTTATTTCATTGAGATACCTACGCCACTGTTTATTGTCACGCTATACCGATAACAATAATAATACTAATACTAATACGAAAGGGGTTGCCTCTATAAATATTAATAACAGTTAACTTACTTTTATGACAAAATTATATGTTACTGAATTTATGAAGCTAATTTTATCTATCAAGGTCTTCTGACTCTACTGAAATATCTAATATAATATATGTAATTAAATATATGGTAAGAGGACCGAATTTCATCAGAGACTTTTTGAGTTATGTTATTATCGATATTCATAACTAGGGCAAGGAATTTAGTTTGCTAAAAAAAGAAAATTTGATATGTCCATCCCTGAAAAAAAATGTTATTAAAAATTACCGTTTAAATTACTGGGATATATTATTGACAGGTCTTTTATTATAGTTAAATTTATTGTATCAAGTATTTATGATAATTTGAATTAAGAAAAAATTACTTCCACCAAGAATAGAATTCCAAGATAAATTTTTACTTTGGCCAACACAACTTTGGTCTTCTTTCAGGCACTCGAAAATTTTCTTGAACCAAGAATTTTGTTCTCCAGTCAAGAAACTTTTCTTTCTGTGCAGATTTTAATAATGAAATAATAAAACTAAGTAGAGTGTCAATAATAGGGGCTTCTACATTAGTAAAAAATTTCGAGGAGTTTTTTAGTTAAAATTTTTTAGGTATTGGTATTATCCACCGACTTCGAAAAAATTACAAATCTCAGTGGTCAGTTCTTCCTCAATAACTGTTAATTACACTAACAAGACTTTTACATAATTATCATTATAATTTAATTTTATCCAATTAGTTAAATATTATTTGTAAAAATGTACTCTAATGACATTCTAAGTTTTTTGTTTACTATTACTTAATTACTCTATTTAAATATATTTTCAAAAAAATTAATTGAGCATTGAATGTTATTAAACTAAAATCCAGTTCTTAAAAAATATAAAGGAAAATTTCAACTAATCGGAGAAGAAAACTCTGTTCTTTATTTTCTCTTTCTTTTCCATCAGATCAACTAAGCTACTGGTCCAATGATGTTATGACCATATAACATCATCGTGAATATTATATAAACGGCAGCTTTTATCGTAAAAGTAAATAAATTTATTAAATATCTTGTTATTTGTAACTCGATGAAATTTTTTTCATTACAAGTAGAGCTGTTTTCCGAGCCTTATACTCCGGTGGATCTTTACGAGCTCACAACATTTTTTTATGATCAAAAAATTCGATATTCTGCCTATTCATTTTATTTCGTTACTTCCACAAAAGTATCTAGGTCAAAAATTTTAATTCAATGTACGGGAGGTTTTTCAAGGCGTGTTTACATGAAAACATACGAACGCACGGTGATTTGAATTTACCTCTATTTGCGATTCGCATTCACTGTTGAGCAAATAGGTCACGCAAAAAGGAGTGAATTATTTTTAAAATTCCTCCAGTTACGAGTAAATTACGCTACATTTTGACGCCACTTTAGTCGCTCGTTATCATTACCAATGTGCATATATTATCTGCCGACCGCTAAAGAATGCAAATTATGCACAGTAAATGATTTCCCGGATTCTGATTAAAACATCACGAATGAGAAATTAAGATATAATATTTAGAAGATCATTTTTGAATTTATTATAATTTTATTCACAGTAATAAATTTTTCGTTAAATTCATCGTAAAAATTTGTGTTGATAACTTTTTTTACACAAATTTAATGTTAATTAATTACAATCCGTGTATTTTTAAAAAAAAAAAATTTAAGGTAAGAGCCCCCATTATTGACACTATAAGAGTGACGGCAAACGTTTGAATTTTTTAAACGTATTCAAATTAATCTGACTAAGTTTTTTGTGTATTAGACACTTTTTTTGATTCATCAACTTGTGTATTTTAATTTTTATACTTGAATATAGTCGCTAATTAAATGACAAAAAAAATTTGATAATTATATATTAATCTTCATTAATTTTTTTCTCTAATATTTAATGACCGAAACTCAAAGAGTCATACATCATTTTACGCAGAATTTCATGTACTTTGACGTAATATTTTTTATTTTTTTTCAAAAAAATTTTTTGAATCCCAAATACCGTTTTAAATCCATTAAAACTAATAATTTTCAAAAACTTGATGTTTATCGATTAATTTTTAATAATTTTTTTTTTCAATATTTATTGATGAAAATAAAAAAAAAAAAACATCATTTTACGAAAAATTTCATGAGCTTTAACAAAAATTACTTATTTTCTTAGAAAAAATTTTTTTTTGTCCAAATCCTGATTCAAATCTATTAAAATTAATAATAATCCAAAATTTGATATTTATATATTAGTCTTCATTAATTTTTTTCTCCAATATTTATTGATCGGAATTTAAAAAGTCATACATGATTTTACGTAGAATTTCATGTACTTTGACGTAATATTTTTTATTTTTTTCAAA